ACACACACACACAGTGCACATACATAAATGCAGACAAAAGCATTTATACACATTAGTAAATGAATCTTTTTTTTTTTTTTGGTTTTTTGAGACAGGGTTTCTCTGTGGCTTTTGAGGCTGTCCTGGTAGTAAATGAATCTTAAAAATGTTTAAAAGGGAATAATATATCTGGAGCACAGGTGATCTTCTGGGGCATTCTCTAAGAATGGCATATCTAGCAATATCATGTAATGTAAGACAACAGACACCTTATAAAAGTAAGAGCCCTCAGAAATGGAGTTTGGGGTCATCTAATGATAAAAGATCCTGTGATAGCCGGGCGTTAGCAGTGCATGCCTTTAATCCCAGCACTCGGGAGGCAGAGGCAGGTGGATCTCTGTGACTTTGAGGTCAGCTTGGTCTATAGAGCGAGTGCCAGGATAGGCTCCAAAGCTACAAAGAGAAACCCCGTCTCAAAAAACAAAACAAAAAGGCCCTGTGATGCAGGTTGAGACAGGAAGTAGATATGAACAGAGTTAAAGTGATACTCTATAGTTTGTGTCCACTTGCAAAAATGAGGAGTCTTGAGATTATCATGTTGTTCCTTATTGTTGTGGGAATTCATTCAGCCAATAGCTTTTGTGGTACCAGCCCTCAGGGCGTGGCTGAGGTTCTATGTATGGACAGACAATTGGAGAGAAGCATGCTCTTTTGGGAGGTGGGAACAGAAGCAAGCTTGTGCGGTTCACATCTCCCTGGGGCAGAGCAGCAGAGCATAGCAACTTTTCTGCCTTGTCTGGTATTCTGTGAGTCTGTGTTTCCCTTTGAATCCCATTTGTATCCTCATAATAAAGACAATTTATAATTCTCGAAATACCTCTCAACTTACCTTTTTTTTTGGTTTTTCGAGACAGGGTTTCTCTGTGGCTTTGGAGGCTGTCCTGGAACTCGCTTGGTAGTCCAGGCTGGTCTTGAACTCACAGAGATCCGCCTGCCTCTGCCTCCCGAGTGCTGGGATTAAAGGTGTGTGCCACCAACGCCTGGCTTCAACTTACCTTATTATGCACATAAGATATGTAGTTTTGTGTTTTGAGTTATGCAACATCATGTTTCTTATAATTTCATTCTGTTTCATATAAGGTGGTTTAGTTACATGATGTTGATGTTTTCAAATAGTATTTTATGTTGTGCCCAAGTTGCAAAGTTCCCAGAGACCACCAGGGAGACAGACCCACTAAACTGCAAAAGCAAGGTTTAATGATTTTTCATTCACCCATGACAGGGACCCTGCCTGACTAGCTGTTGCAGCAGCCTCCAGAGGGAGTGAAGTTCCCTGTCTACTGCTAGGTTTTAAAGACAAAAATTGCAGGATTACATCAATAGGTAGGGGTTGGTTTCTGATTGGTTGACATTTGGGTACAATTAGGAGCATTTTTCAAAGTCATATTTTGGCATGAAATTCCTGTGTACCAATTATTTTCATTTGTCAGTGCTGAGAAGGAACATTCTGTGGTTTTTATGGCTTTGTCTTGTTATTTGCAGGTGGCCTGTTGTACATAGATACCAGAAGTTTTCAGAACTATATCCTGGAGACTACAGGGAAGGTTTTGGTCCCCCCCCTGGATTTTCTTTTGTGGCCAAACAGTTGCCAGGAACCGAGCATCTAGGAGGCTAGGGTGGGTGGGGGGTTGGTCTGGAATTTCATTGTGTTCAGTTTTGACTCTAGGCTCCAAGAGGCCAGAGGATCTGGACTTTCCTTGTGAGAGGCCTACGTGTCTTTTCTGTAGCCTGTCATGGCTACTAAAGCAGGGGTCTGAGTGAGGGTCTGGTCCCTTTATTTCTAAATTATTAGAAGTGAAACCATTGAGTTTAGTTTGCCCCTTTCATTTTATTCAATGTTTCTAGACTATGAATTGATTGAGAGGTTCTGTTTTGCTAGATTGCTCCTTTCCAATAAATTTCTTTTTCAATTATGTTGACTAGGGGAAGCCAGACATGTAGCTGATGCTTATAGTCCTGGCACCAGAGAAGCTAAAGAAGGAGGATTCCTACAGGTTTGAGGTCAGCTACATAGTTCCAAGACAACTTGGGCTATAGAGTGAGATCCTATCTCCAACAAGTAAGGAAACAAACAAATTGACCAGGCTAGTTACTTCTATTACTTATAACCAAAGACTACTGCTGGAATATATATGGACACCTGCGAGTGGAGTTCAAACAAAAGGTTTTGAAAATGTGGTATATCTGGAATTGGTCACAAGTCTGGATAAGACTCAGCCTTAGTTGCTTTTCTGTTGCTGTAATAAAAGTCCCGATAAAGAGCAATTCAAAGCCGGGCGGTGGTGGTGCATGCCTTTAATCCCGGCACTCGGGAGGCAGAGGCAGGTGGATCTCTGTGAGTTCGAGGCCAGCCTGGTCTACAGAGCCAGTTCCAGGAGAGCCTCCAAAACAATACAGAGAAACCCTGTCTTGAGAAAAAAAAGAGCAATTCAAGGGAGGAAGGGTTTATTTTGGCTCACTATTTGAGAATATAGTCCATTATGGGAGCATTCTGGTGGCAGGAGCTTCAGACAACTAGTCACATCACATCCATAGTCATGAAGTGAGAAAAATGAATGCATGAATGTTTACTTGATTGTTCTTAGTTCGATTTCTCTATTCTTATCCAGTTCTGGACCTCCTACCTAGGGAATAGTGCCATCCACAGTGGACAGGGTCTTTCTGCATCAACTAACAAGACAATCAATCTCACCTAAGCAAGCAAGCATAGAGATATTCATTTCTTTCTGTTCTTGACTATGGATGTGGTACAACCTGCTGCCTTGACTTTCCTGCTGTGATGGACTGTAAATAGTTTGGGATTATGAGCTAAAATAACCCCTTCCTCCCTAGATTGCTTTTTGCTAGGTAATTTATTACAGCAACAGAAATGGAATTAGAGCAAATAGTAACTTACTGAATGCTTCACTTTGCCTTCACTGGTTTATCATGTCTTCCCTTCACGTTTTTATTTCTAAATTTTCTGGCCCTTTATCTTATTTTTAATGTGTATTTATCTGCCCATCTATTTTTTCAAATACATAGGTGTACACACACACATATATATGTTGTGGAATATTAATTTAAGATGTGTTACATGCATTAAACATTTGTTTAATGATGAAAAGACACACGTTACATTTGTTTTATTAAATACATAAAATTAACCTGGAGTCAGGAGGCTGAGTCAGCAACTATCTGACAGGAAGAGGTAGGAAGTATGTGTAGCTAGGGTTCCTAAGTGGGGGCTAAGCAGAAGGACGCCTGCTTTTGGGGGGATATTTGGGCTAAGACAGGTTAGCTACTTGCTGTTCAGCCTCTTCCAATGAGCAGAATTTCACTGCAACCTTTGAATCCTGAGTTCTATAGAGGGATAGAGATCTAGATAAAATTCCTTTTAGTGGCTGTGATAGAGCTGGTGCCTGAGGGAACAGAATTCCTGCTAGCTACTGAGTTGCAATTGCTGATTAGGATAGCAGTTGCTTAAGCGTCAGCTATGGAATTTAATGAAAAACAACATATATATGCATATACATAGTGAAAGTTTCTATAGATGCCATATATAAATATCATTTTTTTTGGAGCTGTTAATGGATTTCTTTAGCCACTGGTGGCAATGATTCATCCTGTGAGAGTTTGCCACTTGGAGTCCACTACAAGTTATAGTCAGCTTCCCTCCACCCACGGAAACACCTGGAGGTGCCTTCATTTTCTGCCTATCTGATGCCCCCAGGTGCTAGCTGGCAGAGGAAGTCAAAAGTTCTGCAGTAGGCAGACGGTTTAGGAATCCAAGGGAAGCCAAATGTATTCCAGTGTTCTACTTACCGTCTTTTGGCCAGTCACTTCAATCTGGACTTTATTCATTTAATTTGACAGTGTTTACTGCTGAGCCTCTCCTTAAATGCCAGAGACTGTTCCAGACACTGGGCATACTTGTGGCCTTTTCTGGGGAGACAGGAACAAATGTTTATGTGTGATGATTTAACTTAGAAATGTTTCAGTCAGTTGAATACTTGGTTCCCTATTGGTGATGCCTCTCGCTTTAGAAGCCGGCCATGCAGGGTGGGGTGGGGTGGGCACAGGCTTTTACCTGCTAAGCTGTCTTGCCCGACCTCTTTTTAATTTTAAAGGTTTTTTTCCCTTCTTTGAGACAGGGCCTCTCTATGTCACCCTGGATGTCTTGAAACTCCCTATGTGCTGGGATAAAAGGCCTGTGCCACACCACTGGCTGCTTCCCATTCTCTCCTCCTTGTGCTTTCGCGCAATAAGGACAATTTAGGGGAATTGGGTCTCTCCATCCACCTTTATATGGACTCCGGGGATCGAACTCAGGTTTTGGACTTGTGTTGTAGACACCTTGCTGGCAGAACCATCTTGCAGGGGACTCTTAACCTCATTTTATAGGCGCTCCTTCTTACACCACTGCATGTGGTAAAGTCAGATCCCGGTTCCTATGTTTCTGACGCCAGCGTCCATCAAAACAAAAGAAAACACAGCAAAACTATCCTCTTACTTTTTTTTTTTTCTGAGACAGGGTTTCTCTGTGTGGCTTTGGAGGCTATACTAGAACTAGCTCTGTAGACCAGGCTGGCCTCGAACTCACAGAGATCCGCCTGCCTCTGCTTCCTGAGTGCTGGGATTAAAGGTGTGCATCACCAAAGCCCGTGTCCCCTTTACATTTTCACCACTGTTAGGTTCAAGTGTCAGCTGTAGACTGTCACTTAAGGCACTAACCCTTTTTAAAAAATCTGTAATTTGTAAATGAGATTATTATGGGTTCATCCTAGGGGTTGTGGGCAAGAGACAAAAAAGCCCGGGGTGAATTGAGCAGGAAGTGCCCTAGCACCCTCAGAAGAGCAGGGTCTGGGTTTATTGTGAGCATACAGTACTATAAACAAGGTCTGGTGACGTAGCAGGTCGCGGCGTTCCTCTCCCGCGGCATTCCCGCGCGCCACGCGGGGCGTCCCTAGCAACGCGCGCGCGCTCACTCGCAGCCCCGCCCCGCCCGTGGCGGCGGCGGCAGGTGCGCCTGCGCGCGGCCACACAACCGCCAGTCAACTCGCTTTCTCTCTCCCTCCCGGCTTCGCCCCTCCCCTCTCCTCCTCCTCCACAGCCGCCCGGAGCGTGACACCAACATGGAGCCGGAGGATCTACCGTGGCCGGGAGAGCTGGAGGAGGAGGAGGAGGAGGAGGAGGAGGAGGAGGAAGAGGAGGAGGAGGTCGTAGAGAACGCGCCAGCTGCGGAGACCGAGGAGACGGTGGAGGCCCCGACCTCTGAGGACACTGTGAGGGCGGAAGAGGTAGCATTTGAAGAGGAGGGGCCTGAGGAGGATTTGGAGTTTAACAGCGGGTTCCTGCCGCGGGAGAGCACGGACGAGGAGGAGGACGAGATGGCTAAGGCCTGGCTGCAGGCGAACCCTGCCCACCCTGGCAGGGCTTTCCCTCCGCCCCCACCCCCGCGGCACCTGTACGCTCCGGTGGAGCATCTGGGCGAGAGTGAGGTGAGTAGTGGCGCTTTGTAGCCAGGAGCCTGGCTGTGTGTGTGGTTGGGGGGGGAGCGGGGCTTGAGGCCCAAGTGCCAGGCGAGGTGCTTGAACTACTGAAATCGGTCCAGGATCTCGGGGTCTGCTCGCTGTGGGTCGCCATGCCTACGGGCCGGAGACCCCCTGATTGTGGGACTGGCCGAGTCTTCGCAGTCTCGGGTCCTTCCAGGCAGTGCCATCTCTGCTGTCACTGCCGCCTCTTAGTCCAGGTTTTTTGTTTTTGTTTTTTTTGAAACAGGGCAGATGCGACAGATGCGCTGGGAGCCGGTACTCCCATAGCGTGCAATTAGAAAGGCCTTTTGGGCAGAAGGTGAGAGCTGCGGAGGGAGTTTGGGCAACAGCTCTAGCTAGCGAAGAGATAGTTGGAACCTTAGTTTTATTCAAGTTCAAGAACTCCCGCCTCCCTAGCGATTAGTGTAGGTTATGTACGATGCATGGGCTGTCTCAGAATCTTCCCGCTCACTGTGTGTACCTCGCCGGTGGCAGGAACTCGGAATGGAAGCCGTTTGTGATTTAGCGCTAGTTTGGAATATTAGAAAGCACCAAGTCAAGACCAAATGGAGGAAGAGCCGAGTTTTACAGAGGTCCTGCCAAGATCATTTTGAAACTAACCATGTTCTTAATTTAATGTCAAGAACTGTGTTGTTCAATACAGCCACGTGTAGTTCTTCGTATATTAATTAGTAATAAATAGACTAGAAGGACTGCTGGTGTATTTCAGTGGTACAGATCTTGCCTAGTGTTCAAGCCCTAGTACTTGGGGGAGAAAGAATTATTAAGATTAGGAATTCAGTGGCCCTGTTTAATCACTTTTCAAGTGATTGATAGCCATGCTTAGTTAAGGGCTGTCACATTGGGCATAGCGGTCACGGAACAATTCCATCATCCCAGTGATACTATGGACTGTGATTGGTGAAGGGCCTGCTAGGTATTACAGGGCGTGTTTAATTCATGCAGCTTATACTTGAAGCCTTCCCGCTGTGCTTTCCCAGTGTTCCCTGGGGCAGAGAAAGAGTCACGGTGTGTGCTAAATTTCCATGAATGCATAAGATAGGTAACTTGAACTTGTTAGTGAATTCACCAAGACGAAAAGGCAGAACTAGAAAGCATAGGCTCTTTAATGGGAGGCTTTCCTGGCATTGTTTCAGTGTAATGACGTCATCTCTATCTCTGGTGGGACATCTGTGTTTCTTTTTTTTCTTTTTTTTTTTTTTGGTGAATGATCATCTGTGCAAGGTAGGTGTGGGTCACTAAGGTCAAATTTCTGATGATCTAGTGTACTCACTAAAGAGTGGAGACAGTGGTGTTAGTGTGTCCTGAGACAGGTTGCAGCCAGGGCTTGCAGCTCTTTCTGGAGGCAGCAGGGGCTTGCTTTGAAGCCTAGTCTGCTTTGAGGTCCAAATAGCCTTGCTCTGAGGCTAGAATGGCTTGGCAGAACAGCATCGACATTAGGAAGCAAAATCTTCACACTTAGTAATGCTTGGCTGTGGAGGGTAGTGTCCAGTTGTTAGGTTAGTAAGTAAATGCTTGCGCTGATTTTGAGGTGTGGCCTGGCCAGCTTTGAACTGGTGATGAATTGGGTGGGAGGGTGCTAAGATTGAGTTTGGTTTTGAAGATTAGAGAAGTGGTCTGGGCTAGAATTTTAAGTACTACATTATCTACATCTAGACCACAGTGAAGCTATACTTTTGAAGTAGTTCTTCTAATTTCTGACCTCTTATTTGAATAACTATGAATATTTAAATTTATTTCTTTAGGCCTACCTAGTGGAGGAATTCTTATTTTAGCCCACTTTAACTCTTACCATACCTAATGTGAGAAAATTATTTTCCTGGTTTAGAAAAATACTGCTTCTTAGAGCTTGGGGTGTCTCTCTCCTTCCCTGGAAGTTTTTGTTTTGATTTTGAGACAGGGTCTCACTATATAGCCCTGGCTGGCCTGGAATTTGCTGTACTGATCAAGCTGGCTTTGAATTCTTCAGAGATCTGACTGCCTCTGCTTCCCAAGTGCTGGCAATAAAGGTGTGATCGTCATACCATTCCTATTTTTCTTTTCTTATATCTGTTATTTACATTAGAGAATATAGGAAGGTGTAGGTGGCCTCCTTTTAGTTTGTTTTATGAAGTTGGGGATTGTGAATCTTGATCTTGATGCCTGTTAGGCAAACTGTGTCTCTGAGCCATAGTTCTCCCCCAGGTCCACCCCTCCACACACAGGTTTCACTTTGTAGCCCTGGTTGTTCTGAAACTCTCTATGTAGAGTGGGCCAGCCTTGAACTCAGAGATCTACCTGCTTCTGCCTCCTAAGTGCTAGGATTAAAGGTCTGTGCCACTATGCCCCATTCCTCTCCAGTTTTTAAAGATGTGTTCATTGTGTAGTATTCACATTTCTATCATGATCATCTATCATTTCCTAAGTAGTAAGATTGCTATAACGGTAAGTTTGTTGTGTGGGTATGCATATTTGCAGTGTAGTGTTTGTGTGCACATATATATCTGTATATGGGTACGAATTTCTTCCCACCTTATTTATTTAATTTGACCACGCTGGTCTACACAGTGATCTTTATAGAGATCTCCTACTTCTGCCTCCAGAGTGCTGGGATTAAAGGTGTGTGCCACCATACCTTCCATCTTAAATTTTGAGACTGAACCTGGAGCTCCTTGCACTAGGTTAGACTAGTTCCAGGGATCTCCCTGTTTCTGTCCACCAGAGCAGGGGGCTGAGGATCAACTGCAGGTGAAAGTCAGAAGACAATTTTCCCCTTTTTATGTTGGGATTGAACTCAGGTCTGGTTTTACAGATGGACCCCTGCTCCGTTTGTTTCCTCTCTTCCTACTTCTTGACATGGGGCTAGCTCTTTCCTTTCTCTCCTTACTGCTTTTAAAGACTTGGTTAAGGAGTGAGTGATCAGAGCCTCTGCAGTTTTGTTTTCCTGCTGGACCTCTGGCTCTTTCATCTTAGATGATTTCAGATACCTCTCTTTGAAGCTTGCATTTTGAAGGAAACTATTTTTAGGAGGCTGCAATGTTCATGGGTTGTAGTACTAGAGATCTTGGTCTTTAACTTTTTTTTTTTTTTTTTTTGGTTTTTTTGAGACAGGGTTTCTCTGTATTGTTTTGGAGCGTGTCCTGGAACTGGCTCGGTAGACCAGGTTTGGTCTCGAACTCAGAGAGATCCACCTGCCTCTGCCTCCTGAGTGCTGGGATTAAAGGCATGCGCCACCACCGCCCGGCTGTCTTCAACTTTTAAGGGAGTCATGAACCCAGCTTGTAAGCTTCCTGTCAGCCCCTCTATCCATTACCCTTATCCTCCAGCTTCTGTCTGTTGCTCAGCATCTCTTCTGATAGCAGGTTGCCATTTTTTTCAGAACAGTGGTCTGAGCCTTTCACCTGTCTGGTATTCCATTCCATTTGCATGAAAAGTGGGTACTAGAATGAATATTTTCTACGCCCTGGAACAGATTAGTTGTGCTGAAATGTTTTTCTAATGTTCCAGCCATACCAGAAGCAAAATTAAGGTGTTTCCAGGTTCCTGTCAGATGTGATTTATTTACATAAGACATTTCTTGGATTAATTTTGATAATGTATGATTTCCTAGAAAGTCCTTCGTTTCAGAAATGTCTCTAGTTCTAGTTCTCTAGGAAGGAGATAAGTGGAGATGAGGCAAGTGCAGGGTGGTATGGTGCAAACTACTGGGGACCTTTATCTGTGTCCACAGTCAGATGGCTTTCCTACTATTGAAGTGTATGAAGTCTATGTATCTTCATCTATCTAAATACATTTTTAGATTTATTTTTATTTTATGTATATCTGCACCACTTGTACCTGTGAAGTAAGAAGATGGTGTCAGAGCCTTTGAAGTTATAGATGGTTGTGAGCCTCCATGTGAGTGCTGGGAACTCAATGCTGGGTCTTCTACAAGAACAGCCAGTGCTGTTAACAATGGAGCCATCTTTCTAGCCCCTATATATTTATTTATTTAGAAACAAGGTCTTTATGTAGTCCTGGAACTATGTGACCAGACTGACTTTGAACTCAAAGAGAAACACATTAGATACAGAATTTGCAAATATTGCAAAAAGTTTCTCCCATTCTATAGCATGCTTTTTCTTTTCCCCATTTCTATCCCTCCCCTCAGGCCCTCTGCTGTTTTGTCCCATTTGTTTTCTCTTTGTCTTTTTTTTCCTCTGCTAGAAATTGAACTAAGAGTCTCATGAATGTCTAGCAATTGAACTAAGGGTCTCATGAATGTCTAGAAATTGAACTAAGGGTCTCATGAATGTCTAGCAATTGAACTAAGGGTCTCATGAATGTCTAGAAATTGAACTAAGGGTCTCCTGAATGTCTAGCAATTGAACTAAGGGTCTCATGAATGTCTAGAAATTGAACTAAGGGTCTCCTGAATGTCTAGCAATTGAACTAAGGGTCTCATGAATGTCTAGAAATTGAACTAAGGGTCTCATGAATGTCTAGCAAGTGCTCTACCCCTGAGCATCATACTCTGCAGCCTCCCTTTTCATTTTGTTGTTTCCTTTGCTGTGTAGCTTCTTAGTTTGATATAGTTCCATCTCTTCAGTTTGTACCCAGAGCTTATGGTGTGATATGCAAAACATTGCCAAAAGAGCTTTTCCCTTGTGTTTTCTTGTTTTATAACTTCGGTTTTTACATTTTAAAAAATTCATTTTTGAGTTATTTTTCTTGTGTAGTTGAAATCAAGAAAAATGACACCTGGCTTTTTCTTTCTTAAAATTGCCTAGATGGTTTGGGCCTTTTACGGTTCCATATGGATGATGCAATTTTTTGTTTTGTTTTAAATTTTCATGAAGAAGGCAGTTGGAATTTGATAGAAATTGTATTGACTTTGTGTATTGCTTTCGGCGGTATGGACATGTTAACAATATTAATTCTTTTAATCCCCAAACATGGGCTATCTGTTTTATCCCCAAACATGGGCTATTTGTGCTTTTTTCTTTTTCCCTCTCACCTCCTTTTTCCTCTCCCCAAACCACCTCTCTTGAGAGGGTGTCATTGTATCGCTTGGCTGGCCTGGAACTCAACTATATAAATCAGTCAGGCTGCTGTGTGCCACGATGCCTGGCTGTGGTGCTTTTTTAAATTTCTTTCATTAGAATCTTACACTCTTTAGGATACAAGTCTTAAGTATTTACTTATCTACTGACTTTTTTGTTTTGTTTTTCTGAGAGAGGGTTTCCTTGGCTATCTGGGAACTCACTTTATAGAGCAGACTGGCCTGGAACTCACAGAGATCTGCTGCCTCTGCCTCTTAAATGCTGAGATTACAGACATGTGCCACTGTGCCTAGCTGACTTTTTTTTTTTTTTTTGGTGAGGTGGGATCAGGAACTCACTATAGTCCAGACTGGCCTTGAACTCTAAAGTCTGAGATTACTGACTGCTGATGCTATGTTAATGAAACTGTTTTTTCATTTCTTCTTTGGATAGTTACTTGTATACAAAAATGTAACTGATTTTGTGTTGTATGTATGTACATTGTCCTGTATATATGCATGCATGTGTATATACAGATGTGTGGAGGCCAATATTCAGCTCTCCTCAGTTACTGTTCACCTTATTATTTAGTAACAAAATTTTTTTAGGTTTATTTATTTTGTTTCTTGTGTATAAATGCTTTGATTACATGTATATCTGTATACTTGGTACCCACAGAAGTCAGATTGGGTGTTGTAACTGAAGGTATAGATAGCTGTGAACTGCCATGTAGGGATGGAACTAGCTCTTATAGACCAGGCTGGTCTCAAACTCACAGAGATCCTCCTGTCTGCCTCCAGAGTGCTGGGATTAAAGGCGTGTGCCACCACTGCCCGTCGAGGGGGGGCATCTTTCTTTCACCTTCACCACCACATGGCAGACAGAGGGGTGTAACTAACTGTCCCACTTACACACCCCCGGGGTCAGCTCACCCTTGCCTCTGCCAACAGGGTCAGCTCTACTGTACTGCCCAGGTGAGCAAGGCCTGCTTTCAACTGGTGAAGAGGAGGGTGAGCGCCCCCTTCTGTTGCAGGTGGTGAAGGGTGAGGAGTAAGGAGGTTATCTCTACCCCACCCACACCGCCACATGACAGTTGAGTAGTGGGGACAGCTGTTCCTCACTCAGAGCTTTGGGGCTGCCTTACCCACACCTCTGCCAACAGGGTTGGCTCTACTGTGTTGCCGAGGGGAAGTGCAGGGCCTGCTCTCCCAAGTGCTGCAGCTCATGAGGGGCAGGGGCAGTTCTCCTGCTCTTATGACCTCAGAGCCAGATCTCCCACTTGCCTCAGATGAGGGGCCAGACATGTTTTAACCATAAACACTGCTTATTATCTTGTTTGGGAGGTTTTATCAAAAGTCCTGGTTTACAGCTGAGAAAAGAACTGTAATTGATTAAAACAGGTCACCTTACATTTTGGCCTTAAGAATGGTTCTGTCTCAGAAAAGGGGGCCTCAGAAAAGGTAAATACCTCTACACAGGTGGTCTTCACAATGGTTTTTGTTTTGTTTTAAATTGTGTTCAATTTCTGGACTCTGAGCCAGTGAGACATTTGAACCTCAGAGTGGTGGTCATGTTTTGGTGGTGGCTTTCCTCCTAACATCTCCTTAAGTTACAGTGTTTCTTCTCATGCTATAAGCTGATTTTAGGTTCCTGATATTAGATTCATTGCAGTAAGATTAGAAAATAGACAACTTGCATTTTTTCCTATTTGCTTTTACTGTAGGAATAGAATATTTAGGAGCTGGAAAGGGTTAGTGAAAGTATGTTTGGGCCTAACTGGTTAACCTTAAGACCCTGATTATTTTTAGGTGAGCATAAATAACAACTTGAATAGTGATAGTAAAATGAGAGAGAGAAAGGAAAGAGATTGTTAGTTTGTTGTGTGAACTTTTCCTGGGGAGATGTGAATAAACATTTAATGACCCCAGATTGGGAATCAGTGGTAAAGCAGAGTAACATTTTCAAGTCCAGCTTTGTTGAACAAATGGATTTACTGAGCTTATAGGAGGATGAGATCAGAGAGGGTCATAAGAAGAGTACTCAAGGCCCATAAGAAGGGGCCAGTTAGTTACTCAGGGGTGTACTCTCGATGTTGTCTTTTTTTAATTGATAGGCTAGGTCATATATTTATTTTTCCTACTGCACATGTCCCTTTCCATAATGCATCTGATTTGATTCATATACATGCCCAATTATATAGGCATAGATTATAAATAGGAATCCCCCCCAAAGTCATTGGAACAACATGATTTGTCTCAGTGTACATGCACCCCAAACCAGTTCAGTCCTGCTCAGTCTTTCTCTCCAAAAACATTGAGATTATAGTTGAAATGGTCCAAATTGGTTGTTGTGGGGGCAGAGAACTATAGTATTGTTTAGAGTGAAGTGTACATGGGGCCTAATGAAGGTGGAGAGTAGCGGGGTCCTGGGGTTCTTAGCTTCATGGTTTGGAGAGGGATGTGTGTGAAGTACATGCAGCTGAAGGAACTAGGCTGTCAAGTGCATTCTTACAAGGGTGTGTGTGTGTGTGTGTGTGTGTGTGTACACATAATCCAAACTAAATAGGGTCCCAAGTCACTAAGCTATTTTCTGTTTGCCTACCTTATCATGACTTTCCCTACACATCCTCCTGTGTGAGGGAAGGTCAACAGGCTCAGTCTTGGGAGTCTCTTGTAGATAGTTAAAGCTGCTTCTGATGAAGATGGTAATGCTACTATGCTTAGAGAATGGTGTCTTATGACAACACAAAAGTATTTTATAGCATGGTTACTTTTGTTATTGTGTAGTCCCAGCATTATTCAACTTAAGGGTGCTTTGATTTTCAGGTTGTTCCATTGCCTTGCCATGTGTGGCAGCAGTCATCCAATCAAGACAATTCTAGAGTAGTTTTCCAACTCCAGTGCAGTGTCATTGGAAGCAACAGCCCAGTGGAGGCCTGGGGAGGATCAGGTGTGTCTGGGGCAAATTCTTTTTACCAGCAGCACAGAAATGCTATGCTGTAATATGAAGAATGTGAAGATGTTAATTACTTTACTATTTCAGTGTTCTAATAGGGTTCCATAATCTTATGCAGAACAAGAAGCTTGCCCCTGCTTTTTTGTTCTCAATAGTCTACATTCTTCAAAAATCTTATAAAGGGTTTTTGTGTAGGTGGATTATCTCATGGGATAAGAAGTTAAAACATTAAAAATTGCAAAGTTGTTACCTGACCGTAAATAGAATATTTTAAAAAGAAAGGCGTCTGTTTCCTTTTTCTCTTCCCCCCTCTTCACCTCAGACAAGATTTCTCGGTGTAACCCTGGCTGTTCTGGAACTCACTCTGTAGACCAGGCTGGCCCCAAACTCAGAGATCCTCCTGCCTCTGCCTCCTGAGTGCTGGGTTTAAAATTGTTTGTCACCGCTGCCCAGTCGTCAGTTTTCATTTTTAAACAACTTGTTTATTGATGTGCAAATAAAATATGGTAAAGTGAACTGTTTTAGTTATACAGTTTGTCAGATGAGTTTTGAAAAATATAATTATGTAAATACTCCTGTGCTTGAGACATACAGCATTGCTATTATGGACAAAAGTTTCAGAATGCTATTTTAATCATTGCCTTCTCCAGGCCCGTATCTTATATCAAGCACCCTATGGTTGATGGCTCTGCTTTTCCTTTTTAGAATTACGGTGTGTGGACTTTTAAAAACTGATTTCTTTCCCTCTGAAATTAGCCCATGTATGAACTCTTTAAATTTTCATTGTTTTTGAGTAAGCATGACTTCATTTTTGTTGAGTAAATACCTAGGAATAGATCAGTTAAATTATAACGGTGTGTTTAACTTTATAAGAATATGCTGTTATTTTCTGAAGTATCTGTTTCATTCTGCCCAGGGAATGTGGTAGCTGTAGGTTTGGAAATATTTGATCAGTGTTTTGTTTGTTTGTTTTAAATAACCACAGTATGGATTTGTCATGTAGTACCAAATGTATTGATTTAACAGTGAGAACTTAAAATATAACACTAGGAGATGGGGATAATCAGAAGAGGTCTAGGAGGAGGTTAATGTAGTAAGAAAGAAAATAGAAGGAACTACTTTGTTCTATTCTGGTGAGAATATTGTTAAATATGCTGAGTGGACAGCATAAGTATAAATGTGTTGATTCAGCTAATGACTCAGCATCTTTTCTGTTTAAAATTATTTCAGAGAGCAGAATCTTGGCATCATCTTCCTCAAGAAAGAGATTCTTCCCAGACCTTGGATACATCCCAGCCTGGGATTGATGTGAGAATAGAAGGAACAAAAGTAACAGACTTCCCTTCTCTGGAGGAAAGTAAATTGGCTCAGTCAGAACGTCCAGCCACGGAACCAAAGCTTAATCTCTTTTGTTCTCCATTGCTAGGTAATGCCTCTGTATTTTTTAAAATATAATATATATTTTATTCTATTTCATGTGTATGGGTGTTTTACTTGCATGTATATCTGTGCACTATGTTTTTGTCTGGTGCCCATGTGCCCATGTGGCCAGAAGAGGATGTCTGTCTGATTCCCTGGATCTGGAATTATGGGTTCTGGGAATCAAATCCAGATCCTCTTAAAGGCTATGCTCTTAACTGCCAAACTTTCTCTCCAGCTCCAATGCCTTTGTCTGTGACTAGAGGTAATAGCTTATGTTTCTAAAAACTCTGTGTGTGTGTGTGGGGGGTATGTGGAGGCATGTGAAGATGGGGAGCACTTATTAGCCTTGTTCCTAACTAAATCCATTTTAGTTGAGGTTCTCTGTGGAACTATACTCAAACCAGTTGGTTCTGGTTTTTCACACTGGCTGGTTGGCTTAGCTGTATTAAATATGCATCTTAGCATTCCCAGTTGTTCATCGAAGACTGAAAAGAGATCATTCACATTCAAATGGGTATGTGTCCTTAGTCTTCCATAGCACAATTGCTCTTGGAGAAAAAGTCACATATTGTCTTTGATTGGTGTTCCCTCATCGGTAGAGACTCAGTGTTTCTTGATAAGTAAAATGTGTCTGTATGTCTTAGTTTGCTTATTATTGCTGTGATAAAGATCATGACCAAAAACAACTTAGGGAGGAAAGAATTTATTTGGGTTACTGTCCAGGATCATAGCCCATTGAGAGAAGCTAAGGCAGGGACTCACAGGAACTGAAACAGAAGCCATGGAGGAACACTGTTTACTGGCTTTCCCCCCCTTGGCTGGCTCAACCTGCTTTCTTTTTTGTTTCTTATTTACTTACTTATTTTTCAGTATGCTTTTTATTCAGCCAGACCACTTGCCTCCAGGTGGCACCACCCATAGCGGTCTCAGCCCTTCATATCAATCATTGATCATGAAAATACCTCACCGACTTGCCCACAGGCAATCTGATGGAGGCAATTTCTCAAACAAGATTCCTTTCCCTCCAGATAGGTCTAGGTTTGTATATATTTACCTTATTTGATTTTTAGAGTCAATTTAGACAATTGTTATCCTCAGCTTTGAGAACAAAACAATTAAGATGAGGAAATTTCATCATTTCCTTGAGATAGATCTTACTGCTTTTCTTTTAGTGTAGAATGGCTTTCTTAACTCTCTACCAAAGATAAACTTCAAGTACATTTCAAGTGAAGGAGTTTAACCATAAGGTTGGTTTTACTGAATTTTTTTTAGAGAAGCAGACAAGGACCTAGTTGAGCTTATTCTTTTCAAAACAAGCCAATATGCAAGCCAGGATGCTAGTACAGTGTTATGTACACATGTGGACTATTAAAGTGAATTGTAGGCTTACTTTGGAGAAAGGTGTTGAGCTTTGTGGTAGTTTGAATCTAATTGGCCCCCCAAAACTCATAGGGAGTGCACTATTAGGAGGTATGGCTCTGTTGGAGTGGGTATGGCCTTGTTGGAAGAAGTGTATCACTGTGGGGGTGGGCTTTGAGGCCTCATATATGCTCAAGCCACGCCCAGTGTATCAGTTCATTTCCTGTTGTCTATAAGATGTAGAACTCTCAGTTACTTCTCCAGCACCATGTCTGCTTACACACTACCATGTCCTACCATGATGATAGTGGACTAAACCTCTGAACTGTAAACTGTTGTCTCCAAGTTGCAAAGATCCCAAGAGACCACCAGGAAGACAGACTAAACTTTTTTTTTTTTCCCCGAGACAGGGTTTCTCTGTATTGCTTTGGAGGGTGTCCTGGAACTCGCTCTGTAGACCAGACTGGCCTCGAACTCACAGAGATCTGCCTGCCTCTGCCTCCGGAGTATTGGGATTAAAGGCGTGCATCACCAACATATGCAAGGCTACTGCTAGTTTTTAAAGATAAAAGTTACAGGATTATATCAGTAGGTACGGGTTGGTTTTTGATTGGTTGACATTTGGGAACAATTAGAATTTCTCAAAGTCATATTTTGGCATGAAATACCTGTGCCCCAATTATTTTCATTGGTCAGTGCTGAGAGGGACCATTTTGTGGTTTCTATGGTATTATGTTGTTACTTGCAGGTGGCCTGTTGTACATAGATACAAGTAGTTTTCAGAACTATATCCTGGAGACTACAGGGGAGGTTTTGGTTCCCCCTGGAGTTTCTTTTGTGACCAAACAGTTCCCAGGAACCCAGTATCTAGGAGGCTGGGCGGAGTGTCTGGAGTTTCTTTGTGTTCAGTTTTGACCCTAGACTCTGGGAGGTCACAGGATCTGGAGTTTCCTTGTGTCAGAGGCCTACGTGTCTTTTTCTGTAGCTTGTCATGGCTACTAAAGCAGGGGGCTGAGTGAGGGTCTGGTCCCTTTATTTCTAAATTATTAGAAGTGAAGTTTTTGCTGGGCGTTGGTAGCATATGCCTTTAATCCCAGGACTCTGGAGGCCGAGGCAGGTGGGTCTCTGTGAGTTTGAGGCCAGCCTGGTCTATAGAGGGAGTTCCAGAACAGTCTCTAGAACAATACAGAGAAACCCTGTCTCGAAAAACAAAACAACCCCCCCCAAAAGGAAGTGAAGCCATTGGGTTTAGTTTATCCCTTTTATAAACCACCCAATTTAAATGTTTTCCTTTATAAGTTGCCAGGTCATGGTGTCTTTTCACAGTAATAGAAACCCTGCAGAAATTGGTACTTAGGCACTGGGGTGTTGCTGTGATAGGTCTGACCATGTCTTTGTTTGAAAGAATATGGACCTTGGGACTGTGAGTTAGAAAAACAGTTGAGCACTTTAAGTGCTGCTTAATGAGCCATCCTAGTAGGAACATGGAAGATAATGGTGCTAAGTGTGATTTGAACTATAGGTTCCTGGCTCAAGAGGTTTCAGAGGAGAATGTTAGTATGTGTCCTTAAGATCGCTCTTGTGATATTTTGGTGAAGAATGTGAATACTTTTTGCTCTTGTCCAAAGAGTATGCCTGAGGCTAAAGTGAAGAGATTTTGATTGATTGTGTTGATAGTGGAGCTCTCAAAGCAGCCTAAGTATAGACTGTCGTGTGGTTATTAGTGGTAATTCTAATTAAGATTGATAGTGAAAAGGAGCAAGCTAAGCAGGGTACACAGCAAAGTGTAAAATTTGAGGAGAAAAGGAGCACCAGGAAGTGGAATGGAGTTAAGAGATAAACAGATTAAGAAATAGAATAAAGGGAGGGGTGACCTCAGGGAAGATCTCACCCAGGTGAATTTCCAATTTGTTTAGAGCCAGGTGTGATGGTGCACACCTTAATCTCAGGAGACAAATGGCTGGTAGATCTCTGAGTTTGAGGCCAGCCTAGTCCACAGAGCAAGTTCCTGGACAGACAGATTTAGGCAGTGAAGGAAACCATTGAAAACAAAGCTGGTGAAGATGTGATTCAACAGTGGGGCCATGCCCTAGCCCCAGAAAGCAGCAGAACTTGGCATTTTTGGCCATGTGGTTCTGGCTTTAGAGTCAAGGTTAGAAGAAAGGGGTTATGGAATTTGCCTTTTCGCCTAAGGAAAGCTGCTGAGGCCAGGTGTGTGTTAAGGGTGTCCCTGAATGGACGGATGCCCAGAGAAGCCATTGTGTGAAGCTGTGAAGTTGAATCCTGGATTGCCTTGGAGACCCTTAGAGATGCCAGTGCTCTAGGATACCTGCTGAGGAAAGCTAACAGAGGGGAACCAGCTCAAGAGAAGGAAGTGTGTTGCAGTCAATGAAGTTGAAAGGAGTTGGAGATCTGAAGACTGCTTTGATAATCAGAGTTTGGAGTTTGCCCACTTGGTTTTTGGTCTTGGTTTGGTCCAGTATTTCCTCTCTGTGCTCCCTTCCCTACGTTTTAGAATAGTAATGTATATCCTGTGCCGTTATATGTTGGAAGTATGTGATCTGCTTATTGATTTTGATTTTACAGGGGATTGCAATTAAGAGATTGCATGAATCTCGCAAGAGACTTTGAACTTTAGACTTTTAAATGATTTTGAGACTGTTAGTAGGCTATGGGGACTTTTGAAATTTGACTGACTGCATTTTTCATTTGGTATGGCTATAAGCCCTTGGTGACCAGGGAGTAGAATATGGTGGTTTGAAAGAAAATGTTCCCTAAAGGGAATGGCACTTAGGGAGTAAGGATGGCCTTGTTGGAGTAAGTGTGTTACTGTGAAGGTGGGCTTTGAGGTCTCATATGCTTTAACCTCCTCTTAAGTGCTGGGATTATTGTGCTCTGACTTTAACGCAGAGTTTGGCAAATCCTTTGCTCCTGAGCTTCAGTCTCCACATTTGAATTTTTAAAAGATTGTGAAAGCAAAGTATATGTGACAGCTCATATGTTATCAATAAGCCTAAAATTTTTATCCTTTGACCTTTGATCAAAAATGCTGGCTAATTTGTGTAGAAGTTAAAATGAGGAGTATAGGATGCTGCATTTAACTCAGTATAAGATCTTTTTAAAAGGTAATATACCAGGAACAGAAAATAAGTTCTGTTATGGCAAAATGTCAAGGAAGAATTCTGTAAGAGAAAGATTTCAGTATTGAATGAGAGACTGTACAATGCAGTTTCTCCTGTCCTAATGTGTTATATAGTTGCAGTTTCTCCTTTACAGTAAATACAGTGGGAAGGACATTTAAAGCTACTGGATTTTTGCCACTGGGCATGCCATTCCTGCTGTTCTGTCCTGCATGGATGCTATCACCATGGTATTAGGCTTTTGTTAATGGCAAATATCATTGAAACTGTTCAGAGCTGTATGAAGAAGGCATTGCCAGATAAACATATAGCCATCCCATTACTTATACACATATATATGGCATGCTTGAAAATTAACTGTTTAAATCTGGCCTGCATTAGAAAATGCATTTTCCTGCTTACCTGATTTAACTCTCAAACTCCACTCAGATTTTTTTTAAATATTTGAGGAGATGCTTAAATGATGCTTATGATTTCTTGGTTATATGTCAACATTTATGATAAT